CAGCCAGCTGTCCTAGAGGACCTCTCAGGTCTGGGATGTTTGTGGGAGACTGGATCATTAATGAAGCATATAGGCTACCTCCCCTGGTGAGGTTTGGTGGAAAGCCCATATTTAGTAGCTTGTCTGCTATGTGTCCTGGACAAGTTACTTCGTCTTCCCATCTGCAAAGTGGCACTAGCTCCTGTCTCCTGGGATTGTGACGACCCAGCAAGATGATACTATGAACCTGACAGGCTGTAAACTAGCAATGAAAGGCCATTACTTGCTACTGGTAAAGTTTTAAAGAGGCAATTTAGGAAGACAGGTGATGGAGGCTTTGGTTCCCCAGAAGGCTACCAGCATGCTGTGTGCAGCTGAGAGGAATGGCTGGGCAGAGCAAAGCTGGGCTTCCCTCTATTCGAATATTTCTGATGATGAACCAATAGGCCACAGAGATGGAGGTTTATGAGTTGCCACGGCTTGCAAGAGCTCTTGAAGAGGAAGACTTCTTTTTCAAATCTGGATGTTTATACCCCACAGAAAAGATATTTTGGGCCTTCCATGTTTATTCCACCCATGTCCATTTTAGGTGTAGGTCTCTTGGAACCAAGAACTGTGTTACATAAAAATAATAGGAAAAACCAAAATTCTGGTTTCACTCGGAGGCCAGAGCACTCTCCCCTCAGAGGCTGATCTAATGGGAAATGGAAACAAATGAAGTCACAGTAGCATATTCTCACAGTGTTCAACTTGCCTCTTTATATTGTCTGACCCGTTTCATTTAGAGTGACCAACACAACAGTCTAGATTGATACAGCCTGAGCTCAGGGGCTTGTAGGGACAGGGATGAGGGGTGGCATCTGGGAGTCCTGGGGGAAAGCAGGTGAAAGTGGCTGTTCTTGGTATCTCTCACCTGAGGTAACATATTTGCAAAGGAAAGGCCAGAAGCCGTTACTGACTGCCTGGTGAGCCCTGGCAACAGCACCTGCATCAAAACCATCTTGTATCCAGGGGTCTTGGCACCAGGAGATGCTTCATAAATATCTGTTGGCTTAATAACCTGCTGTTTCCTACTCCCCTACCCACTGTGCAGTTAAATGTGTTAAAGTACGTTTTCTCGATGTTTTTGAACATTTCAACACTGAAGTTTGTATTCATATATGTGTGCAGAATAAAAATAAAGATTTATTATAGGGGTCAAGCCTAACCTGCCCCCACTGCAATGTTCTGATCCGAGGTCCTTGTGTTGATCCCTGTGTGTAAATTCTGACTGACCATCCTTAAAACACAACCACCAGTTAATTATAGCTGGGCAAGGAACTTTTGCCTAGTGTATTCAAGGCCTTGGGTTTTACTCCTAGCAAAGAAAACAAAAACAAACCAATAAGTTACAAAAATGCCATTTTATGTTTTAGCAAGTAAAAAATGGCACCTATTCTTTTTTGACTTCTATAGGGCTTTGAGTAGCTGAAGATTAAAACTCCACCCTACCCTGGGTGGTGGTGACATGCGCCTTTAATCCCAGCACTCAGGAGGCAGAGGCAGGGGAATCTCTGTGAATTCGAGGCCCTCCTGATCTACAAAGTGAGTTCCAGGACAGCCAGGACTGTTACACAGAGAAAACCCTGTCTTGAAAAAAACAGTTCCCTCTCCACCAAAAAACCCAAACCAAAAACCTCTCCAAAACTAAAAACAAAAAAATCCTATTATTTTAAAAACACAATTTAAAAATAAATGTTTTATGTGTGCCTGAATATATGTGTGTGCACCACATGCATGCAGGAATACATGGGAGGCAGAAGAGGGTACCATAGACTTATAGTTACAGATGGTTTCGAGCCTCTACATGGATGCTGGGAACCAAACTCTGGCCCTTTGCAAAAGCAGCAAGTGCTCCCAACTGCTGAACCCAGTCTCCACCCTTTAGGTTTTTTTTGATAAGCATAAAACAAACAAACAAACAAACAAACAAAAAACCCAAACCAAACAAACCAAAAAACCCAAATCCTCACAATTGCCCAGAAAGCTTAATATGGTTTAATTTTTATTATTATGTATTTATTCATCCATTCATTATTTATTTATATGCACACCTGTGTAAATATCATGGTACTTGTGTGGAGGTCAGAGGACTACCATGTGGGTCATGGGTGGAGATCCAATTCAAGTTGTTAGGCTTAGCAGCTAGCCTCTTTACCCACTGAACCATCTTGCTGATTCCAGTATACACATGTGAGAGATTGTAAGTTCGAGCACTTGCACACGCACGGGCACACACACATTGAGACAGGGTCTCACTTTGTAGGCCTTGCTAGCCTGGAACTTGCCTTGTAGACAAAGCTGGCTTTGAACCTACAGGGATCTGCCTGCCTCTGCTTCCTAACTTCTGGGATTAAAGGTACGTGCACCCACACCCAGCCCTAATATGTTTTCAAAACATTTTATTTTATGCATGAGCACTTTGCCTACATACATGTATGTATACCATATGTGTGCCTGGTGCTTGTGGAAGCCAGAAAGGGGTTTGGATCCCTTGAAACTGGAATCATGGATGGCTATGAGCCACTGTGTGGGTTCTGGGAATCAAATCTGGGTTTTCTGTAAGTTCTCCCAACAGCTGAGCTATGTCTCTAGCCTCCTAATATGTCTTAACTTAATTTTGTGTGTATGTTCATTTTGGCTGCATATATGTCTGTGCACTACTTGTGTGCCTGGATCCCCAAGGAAGCAAGAAGAGGGTATATGGTCTCCTGTACCCAGAGTTAGAGAAGGGCGTGAACAGCCATGTGAGTGTATAAACAGAATCTGGGTCTTTTAGAAGAGAGCTCTTAACTGCTGAGCCCTCTCTTACCTTGGGGAAAAAAATGACACAAATTTGTATTTTGTGTTCCTGGGGATTAAACACAGGGCCCCTTGCACATTAATTAAAAATAATTAATTTGTCTCTCAATAAACTATGTCCCATTCCTCATAATATATTTTAAACTTTATATATATGTATATACACACACATATATATTACATACACAGAAATGGCATTTTAGAAAGGCTGAAAAATATACCCAAGATTGCAAAGCTAGTGACAATTGGGGCTGGAATCTGAACACGGGCAGTCTGTTTCCAGAAGTAGTACCACTCACTCCATCACTTTGCCAAGTGTCAAGTGTATATGCTGCTGGCCAATGAGCCATGCTGCCTAGTGAGACCTCACCTTTGCCTGAACTCCATGAAGGGAGGGCTGTCTTTAAGGCTCTCACTTTGCTTAAGAGAGCTTTAATTGTTAAAAAGTCCTTCATTACATTGAACTGAAGTCTGCCTCCCCAAGGCTTCCATTGATCTTCATAGTACAGATTTAATCCCTCTTCCACACAATCGCCTCTCAGATACACATGTGATACCCCGCCCCCAGGCCTCCTCCGCTACATGGTTTGTGGGAACCCTGGAAATAGACCCTCTCATGGTTCCAAGCTCCCAATGCACCTGCGGCCCAGAGGAGGCTGGAGAGCTCGAGCAGGAAGGGAGTGTTAAATCAGGTAGCTCAAACAGCTCCCAGGCAATGTTTAGAAGGATGGGCGAAGAACTCCCTGGGAACCAGCTAAGCTTTCTTCACCATTCCTGCATCACATGCCTGTCTGTAGCACAGACATTGCTGGAAGATATAATTGGTCCTGAGAAAGGGAGTGAGTGCAGTAGAATTAACAATGACTCCAGTCCACTTCTTCGGAGTCCAACCTAATGGAATTCCATGGGTAAGGGCACCATGCAAAAAATGAGTATGAGACCCAAAAAGACACAAAAAATGGGGAGGATGGAAGGCTGAATGGGCTATAAAGAGGTTCTGTATCAGGAATGTTGGGGTGGTACCTAAGCTCCAGACCCTTGATGAGGTCATATATGGCCCAAGCATTAATGAGCTAGGACATCAGACTTTGGGAAAAAAAAAAAAAAAAGACATTGAAGGAATCAGAATGCACGGGTGTGTGGTCTGGGGTGGGGTGGAGAGGACAGTGGTAGAGAAGCAATCAGGGCCAGCTCTCTTGGGAGGGCTGTTAAGAAAAATGAGATGATAGACTCCTTCTGGCAGCAAATTTTAGCTCTTCTCTTTGATGCTTAGGGTTCAGCTAATCTGTGGCACCTGGTATATGAATGGCCTTCCTCCTGTCCTTCTGTAATCACATGCCCTAATATTTCCAAGTGTTAGTAATAATGATAGCCTCCCAAAGCCTGGGAGAATTTAAATCCTGACCCAGAACAGAAGGCCCCTTAGAAAGGAAGCAGAAGCTGGGTGGAGGTGGTGCACACATTTAATCCCAGCACTAGGGAGGCAGAGGCAGAGGCAGGTGGATCTCTTTGAGTTCCAGGCCAGCCTGGTCTACAGAGCAAGTTCCAAGATAGGCTCCAAAGCTACACAGAGAAACCTTGTCTTGAAAAACAAACGAAAGGCAGCAGAAATAATGAGCAGGAAAAAACAAATCTCTTCATTGTTCAAATGCATGTGCTAATGTACCATTCTTCAAAGCCATGTGGGCCAGGCCCTGTACTTGTCCTTACAGGTAATTGACAGTGTTAAACAAAATCAGCACAGCCTCGCGTGGAAAGCCATTCAAACTTACAAACTTACTGGGCTTTGAGCCGTGGGTATAGTTCAGTTGCTGTTTATCTAACATGCATAGGATGCTAGGTGCAATCCCAGTACTGCACAAACAGTCCCACAGTACTTGAGAGGTGGAGACAAGAGGATAGAAACCTCAGTGTCCTCCTTGGTTACATAGTGACTTCAAGGCCAGCATGGGTTACCTGAGACTTTATCTCAAAAATAAAAACAAAACAACATACTGGATGCCTAGTTGTATGCCTAGATCTGTGCCCATTTCATGGTTTTTAGGAAAGGTGTGGAGGGGGAACATGTTCTGTTGTGTAGGAACAGGATTTTTTTGGGGAGGCGGGGGCAGGGTGGGGGGCCCGCCTTTGTCGGCTGTCTTGTAGATGTGAGTGTGTCGCCACAGAGGCTCCTCTGAGGATACCCACAGGACTCTCTTGCTCACCCCAGTGGACAGACTCTCCTTTGTCTAAACCTGGGTGTTGTTCTCCAGCAGTGCAGAGGGTAAGTCTAGCAATGTGAGTATCTCTCTGAATTTGAAGCCAGATCTTTGAGCAAATAGGCATTTCTCATCCTCAGTCTCCCAGCGGCTTCTAGCGATTAACACAACCTGACACCAGGCCCATCAAGATAAGGATCCTAATGGCCACAATGGCTTCCCTTTTCTTCCCCAGAGCTTCTTTATTGCCCTGCACTTTCCACTTGCTTCCAGCGGGGAAGAGTTTAGAAGCATGGGGCCAGGCCAGCCACAGCTTCCCACAAGCTCAAGCAAGGGCTCCAGGGACAGGAGGCATTTCCCTTTAATAAGCTTCTCACACTACATTAAAGATAAAAGGGGAAGGGAAATATTTATATTCTGACAAAGCAGCTCTTCCCTTCAGGCTCTTGTTTTATTTATTATCTTGCTCTGTCCCTCTCTGTCTCTGTGTTTCATGGGCTGGGCATTTGTGGTCCTTCTCTCCTTTAGTCATTAATTTTGTGGGTGAGTGACAGTGACAGGGGGACTTTAGAATCGTTGTCAAAGAGATGGGGTTGTAGGAGGGTGCCATTCCCAGGTGACACAAAATAGATGTTCCTCCACCCTCCCGGGAGCTGCTCTCTGTTTCTGCCCTTATTATACAGTGCTTGGGTGAGGAGTGGCTCATGCTGGTTAAGTTGTCATTTCAAATGAAGCCGTGTCAGTTGGGTAAGTTGTTCAGAGGTACTCTAACCCGGGGTTCTTGATAGTGCGTTCTCGGGCGCCTCTTGGCCTCTTCTCTTGTGTGTGCCCTCTCTCCCTATGGGCACTAAGGAGTCTTATTTCTTCCTGCTAATTTACACAGAGCCCATAAAAAAAATCTCATCCTTTTGCAATGATGAGCGTTAAAATTTCAGCCTGTCTATTGCTCCAAAGCCTGGCTGGTTGTGAGTGAGTTGCTCTACTGAACCTCCTCTCACCTCCTCTAAGGAACCTGCTTAGATTAGTGAGAGGAGAAGAACAAAAATCATTTAGCTCTGCTCTGTGAGCTTGGGTAACATGCAGGAGTAGACACTTTTTTTTTTTTTTAAATAATGGACCTTTTAAACAGAGGTTTTGAATTATTTACGTGTGTGTGTACGAATGCATCTGTGTGTGAACGTGGCATAGTAAGCATTGGAGGTCAGGGGTTCAGGGCAACTGCCTTCACCCACTGAGCCATCTCATCAGCCTTGACCTTAAAAAAAGTCACATATCTTCATCAATGAAAATTTCAAATACTGGAAAAGAACCAGTGACCTACCCATCCTATGGAGAATGGTATATAGCAATGACTAAATGCACAGGTTTTGACTCATCGCCCAACATTTGCCGGTGTGTAAGCTGCAGGAGGCATCACCATGCTCCAGTTTCCTCACCTGTAAAAGGGCATGATGATGTGTGCACTCCTCCCGAATGATTCATGAGAAGTGCCTGAAGACAGTGCTTGACTCATTGTGAGACCACAATAGGCATGAGCTTTTGTTGTTAGTATCCACAAATAACCAGTGAGTAACAGCTGACATAGATATTCTAGACATGTACATATTCTGTGTGTACTATACATAGAATCGCTTTACAGTGACATGATCACCTTACACATGCTTAAAAAAATAATCATTCTAAGGAGAGGGCTGGCAAGATAACTCGGTGGTTAAAGGTACTTGCTGCACAAGTCTGTGGACCTGAGTTCAATCCCAGAGTTGTGTAAAGGCAGGAGAGAGCTGATTTGTCCTCTGACTTTTGTGGCATTCATGTGCACACACACACCCACTCACATACACACACATGCACACACACATGTGCACGCACACACACATCCCACATACACATAGAATAATAATCAAAAAAGTTAAAAAGCCTTGGGTTTACCTGAGCATTAGCAGAAGGAAGGAGAGAAGCTAAAATGAATGAACGTTAGCAACTAATTTCCCAATGCAAAGATACATTAATTCTTAAACTACTCCAGTGATCTAGAGTGATGATGGCTCAGTGTCTAAGAACACCTACTACATTTGCAGAGGATCCAATTTTGGTTCCTAGGATCATGTCAGGAGGCTCATAACTGCCTGAAACATCAGATATCTCTGTCCTGTAAAGGCAACCCTCACACATACATATACCCACTCCTACCACAATAAAAGTCCTTAAAATATCATTCCAGCTTAGAAAACAACAATGGTGATGAAAACTAATAGAAATCAGGACATGCTGATGTCCACTTGTAACCGGCACTCAGGAGGCAGAAGCAGGAGGATTAAGGTGAGTTCATGACACCCTGGTGAACATAGTACTGCCAGGCCTGCTGGGCCTACATGACTCGAGACCTTGCCTCAAAAAAAAGAAAGAACTCAATGGGAAATTCAGGTGAGTGGTTGGGGTTTGGGTGAAGCCTGCCAGGCAGTGAGATGCCTTGGTGTGACAATGTTTCTTCCTGCCTCACAATTTCAATACTTGTGTTATTTTTAATTTGAGTTTTAGCATCTTCGTCCTGATTTGCATTCGTTTACTCTAGAGGGTTTGTCCTCATTCTATATTTAATTGGATTCAATGTTTATTGCTAGACCTTTTTACTGTGCCTTTCACGTGACTAATTTTCTAATTTGGGCCATTTCTTGAGTGGTTGCATTTAAACATCAAGTAGCTTTTCTCCCCTTTTCTTTCTCATTGAGAAGGCTCACTGGTGCCTCATTCCCCAGTTTCTCTCATAACTGAGAATATCTGCTTTTAGCTTCTCTGTGCAAAATGACTACTTGTTAACTGCACTATTCTCCACCCTGTTTAGTTTATTAATTAAAAAATAACACATAAGCATACAAAATGATAGGCTTTGATATTGTTTTCATATGTATAATCATTTCTACATTGTCTTCTCTTGTTTCTCTTCTTCTCTTCCAATAGTTCCCTGCCTGTCCCCGGCATTTGCTAACACAGGCCAGCTTCTGCGCTCATGGGTGTGCGTGCGTGCGTGCGTGCGTGCGTGCGTGCGTGTGTGTGTGTGTGTGTGCGCGCACATGTGCGCACATGCCTCTGTGTGATTTACTGTCCTTATTTGAAATGAAACATTATATTTGCCCCCCCTTACTTACTCTTGTACCCTCTGCCCTTCTTCAATGTGTAAAAGTTCCTCCTCTAATTTAGACAAGGTCTCATATATCCCAGGGTGGCTTGGAATTTGCAACAAAGTCAAGGATGACCTGGAATTTCTGATCTCTGTCTCTACTCTAAATGCACTAAATACTCAGATTACAGGTGTGTCTATTCTAAATGCTCAGATTACAGGTGTGTCTACTGTAAATGCTTGGATTACAGGTGTGCCTTACCACATCTGGCTTTGGTCTTCTCCTTTCTGTGCCTGTTTTTGTTAACTGTTGTGCCTTTCTCATTATTTATAGGAGGTAATGGAGTTTTGATTCTGAACTGTATCTTTAGCTGTCTGCTCTCTCTTTTTTATTTCCTTTGTTTGCTGGTTTATTTTCCCAGCTTTGAGTTTACTGTATTTGTCCCTGGAGATTACCAAAGAGACAGAAGAATATTTGTGTTTCCTCTACCAATCAGATAGCTCAGGGTGAAGAAGCAAACAAAAGTTAACTGATGACAAAAACCCTCTGGCAGCTCAAGATGTAGAATCCAGGTTTCAGGTGTGAGTTCAGGGGACACTTGGTGGCTGTGGTGCTCAAAGACCTGGGTGTGGATTTTATTCATTCCTCTCTTCTGGGAAAGGAGACAGATGGTGGGCAGCTGACATCACAGTGTGGCCGGGAGCCACACCAGGGAAGGTCTACTTGACATAATTCTTGGGTCCCCAGGGTTCATCTTGGGGTCTTAGTATAAAGTCTAGCTCTGTGTCCTGGGGCCATGGGCTTGCTCTCTCTGGCCTTTACTCCTTTCACTTGTAACACAAGAATGAACCATTGCATGGCATTGTTAATGAAGATTAAGTTATAATTTATTTAAAGGGCAAGGTGATTGCACATCATAGCAAGTGATCAATAAATGCCGGCTATTCCCCAAAGTTAAAGTGAGCTGGAGATGCAGCAGGTGGGGGAGCACTTTCTGAGTATATGAGAGACTATGAGTTCAATCCCCTTTAATTATTAAATAAACAATTAAAGATATAATCGTGGAAGACCTGTGAGTTCCTTATCAGACTGTAAAGTCACAGAGAGGAAGGACCACATCTTATTTATTGCTGTATGCCTCCCATATAGCAAAGTAATAAAAAAATGTATGGGTGAAAGTTGAGTGTGGTGGTACCTGCCTGTAATTCTAGACCAGCAGAGTCTGAGGCAGGTGGATTGGTGGTTTGAGGCCAGGCTATAAACCCCCCCCTTTTCCCTTAAAAAAAAAAAAAAAAAAAAAAAGGCTGTAGAACTTTAGTGACTCTGTCAGGTAACCTCATTGTATCATTGCAAATATCAGACTATCCAACTCTTAAGTGACTTAACTGGGATGGGTAGACTATAGCCCGTAGATCAAAAAGGCATTTATGTATCTATCTACCTACCTATCTATATTTATGTGTGTGAACATTTGACATATATATATATATATATATATATATATATATATGTATATATCATGTACATGACTAGTGTCTCTGAAGGCCAGCAAAGGGTGGGTGCTGGAGTCCTTGGAACTAGAATTACAGATGGTTGTGAGTCACTATGTGTGCTCAGATTCTCTTCAAGAGGAACAAGTGCTCTTAACCACTGAGCCGTCTCTTCAGCCTCCATACCTATTTTTGTACAGTCTGTGAACTGTAGATGGATGTTTCCGTCCTACCTGGTCTCATGGCTGCTTTGCCCCAAATAAACACACAAAGATTTATATTAATTTATAAACTATTGGCCAATAGCTAGGGCTTCTTATTGGCTCACTCTGTTTTAATTATTAATCCATTTCTATTAATCTATGTATTGCCAGGCTGTGGCTTACTCGTAATCTGGCATGTTACTTCTTCGGCAGCATGGTGTCTCTTCTCTGCCTTCTCTGTCTTCCTCTTCCCAGCCTTCTCCTGGTCTGGTAGCCCTGCCTATGCTTTCTGCCTGGCTATTGACCAATCAGTGTTTTATTCATCAAGCAATAAGAGAACCATATATACAGAAGGACATCCCCCATCAATTAACTAAGAATATTGTTTGCATCTTTAAATGTTTGGAATTATTAAAAAGAATAATATTTTGAGAAACTTGAAACCTATGTGAATTTTGTTGCCTATGAATAAAGTTTTGCTGGAGCATGCTCACACTCACTTATGGAGTATGGCAAACTGTTTCTGTAAAAGGCCATTCAATATTGCAGGCTTGGAATACTGTATTTGAGTCTCCTGTGGCAGCTTTTCAATTCTTTTGTTGTAGCCAAACACAGCCATAGGCAGCAACCTTGGAAGACAAAGCTGAACTCCTGAAACAGTAGAAAAGCAGAAGGGCTCCTATTCAGGGAGCCAGCTCACCTGGGGTCCAGGCACAGAAATCAGCCAGTGTTAGGATTTTGAGCATGTTACTTCATGCCTTTGGGTCTGATTGTCTAGAAAAATTTTAATATGTTGCACTAGATTTGGTGAGTTCATCTATTTATTTCATTTTTAACAACAACAAATATAACCACTTTTATTTATTTATTGTGGATAAATGTATGTTTGCACCACAGCATGTATGGAGGTCAGAGGGCAACTTGTTGGTTTTCTCCTTCTACTATGTGGGCTCCAGGAACCCAACTCAGGTTGTTGGTCTTGGCAGCAAGTGCCTTTACCTGCTGAGCCATCTTGAGAGCCTCACTTTTTGTTGTTTTCTTTCTAGGCAGGGTCTCTGTAGAGGCCAGGGTTGCCTCAGACTTGTGGTCCTCCCACACAGCTTCCTGTGTGCTCCCGGCCTGAAGACTTCTTTTAGTTTTAAAGTTTCTAATTTTTATTTTGGTATTCCCATATAATAACCTGTCTATTCTGAAGGCATATGTTATTAGTTAGAACACTTCAGTTGTAGGCAACAGGCAGTAAGTCAAGAAAAAAGATACGTCTTATAAAGATAGGCTGAAAGCCACAGAAATGACAGGGAAGCAGGAAATACAGGCTACGAGGACAAGTGCCAGTGCAGGTCCCATTGGTAGGCAATTGCCTTGGGATGGACCTCTGACCTCTGACGAGTCTCAAGACTATTATGATTGCATGCCTGATGTTATGTTTCTTAGCTTTGTTTAAAAGAACCACCACAATTGTGCCCAACAGGGAGCAATTATTCCTCAAAGCCAGATCAGAAGCTATGAGCAGAAAAAAAGGAAATAGCTGCCAACTGGGAAAGATGGTGGACACCCAGGACAGAGAGCAGCACTGTTGCTTCAACGCCAGACCATGAAGCATGAGGAACCAACTCTGGTTTGTGAGTTGTTTGCTCATTCTCTCAACAAATTGTGAATTGCATTTGGAGGACACCAAAGAAATAATACTGACCTACAGGAAAGGACATTTGGGTTTTACTTATGAAGAACTGGGGATGGAATGTATTCCTTTCAGATTTGAATCATTAAACTATATCCGGGTATATGCTCATTATAGGAAAGATGTTAAGTAATTCTCTAATTATATGTATTACTCTGTGGGCAGAGGATCCGGGACAAGTGACTTCTCTCACATGTCAGGGTGCAGAGCTAAAAGCAGGACTTGACTTCCTGACTTGAGTAACTGTTCTGAATCCACTGCCTAGCAACCGTGGCCCCAGTTCAGGAGCAGCTAATGCTGTGAGGAGCCTGGCTTCCTCAAGAGTAGGAGCTCAGGCCTGTTCCCTCTGTTTCCTCTGGTGTTGGACACAGCAGAAATCACCGTGGAGGCTGCTATAGCTTCCAGCGATGAATCCCAGGCTATCTCCACTTTAGATGAAGATGAGTTGGAGGAAATGGCAGCCACCCCCAGCCGTTGTAAGCAAAGCCTGGCCCAGGGAAACAGAAAAGAGCAGAGGAATTTGGAGCCTTTTTCTAACAGGAGATTGAGTTGAACACTCCCCTGTGCTCACATTGGACAATTTATCTGTCTCAATGTGTACGTTATTACTTCTGGCACATAATGAAACATTATGACCTCACAAAGCAAACTAGTGAGTGTAATTGTCTCCATTCATCTCTCCCCCACCCTTCTATGGTGAAGGAAAAAAAAAAAAGCTAGCCTGAGCCTTGACGTTTGCTCAGAGAGGAATGTTTATAGAAATTTGTCTTCAATCAAGTACTCCTGCATGTGTGCATTCTTTGTTTAGGAAAACTCACCAGCCCGTTTGACTTGGAGGGCTGGTGCCCTTGGCTCAGCCGTCTCCCATGCAGTGGGAGCTCGGGCAGGCTCAGCTCTTCAGAGTCAGAGCAAGCCCCAATGTGCCTCCGAGTGTGTGTGTGTGTACACGGGTGTGTGTATATGTGTGTTCATTTGTAGGTGTTCATGCATGTGCATGTGCACACATATGTGTGTGTTTGCATGTCCCTGTGTATGTGTGTGCACTCATGTATGTAGGTCCTCAGAGACTGTAAGATGACTTCTTCTTCTTTTTTTTTTTTTTTTTTAAAGAAAAAGGAGAATGTCACTGTTTTTCTTACTAAAACTCACCTGAAAAGGGACAGGTGTTCTCATTCATCACTACTTTTCTTTCCAGAGGCATTGGGTCTACCCTTATGGACCAAGATTTGTGCAAACACAGGGATTTCCAGCTTTTGTTTTGCAACCTTGAATGTCTCCAATTGTCTGAAGGCATGTGGAGAAAGCCTCAGAATTAAATTCAGCTCAGTTCACTTTGGCCTAATAAATCCACATCCGTCTACACTGTAAGGGGCAAAGGTGAGGAGGCCAGGGGAACCGAAGTCTCTACAGAGACCGGCTCCTTTGAGATCCTTTGGGGCAGGCCCATTGCTACTTTTCTTATCTTTTTGGCAGGAATATGGTGTTTTGTTTAAATAATATTTTTTTCTCGTCCTTGTATCTTAACATGGAGCAGCCCTGTGTGCCATATTCCCAAGTCCTTAAGCAGTTCTTTACTACATCCATGTGGCTGTTGTTCTAGTGCTCTGTTGCTCACACACCAGTTTTGTCCTTCCTCCAGTTCTCACGTGTCATGGTGATTGCTCAGTTTCATATATGATAGTGAATCTGAGGTATTCATTAATACAGCCCAGATGGGGTGATTTCCTCCATGCCAATTTCCTTGGCAATTCCAGCAGGCAGTAAAGATTTTTTCCCCCCTGTTTTTTTGGAAACAGGATTTCTCTGTGTGTAGTCCTGGCTGTGCTAGAACTCACTCTGTAGACCAGGCCAGCCTCGAACTCAGAGATGAAAGGCATGCCAGGCAGTGGCAGCACTATTTAAGTGGAAGAGCTTTCTGGTGGGCTGCTTCTTAGTTCCACTTCTCTCATAATCGGAGAGGTTTCCAAGAAGCCCATTTCTTATTTCAGCTGGGTCTCATTTTTCTCTGGATAGCCACAAAATTGTATAAATTGAGAACAACACTAAAGGATGTTACTAGACATGCTCAGACAGAAGGGCGGGTGGCAGGAGTGTGAAGCCATCAAGGTCCCTGGTGAGGTCATCCAGTCCCACTTACAGCTAACTCTTCCTCCAGGAATCTGCCGTTTGGCTCACTCTGGGATTCAGCGGAGATTACCATTCTTTTGATCGTTCCTATCTGTTTCTCCCCTTTCTTCCTTAAAGTGGTTCCAAACATTCTTTCATGTGAAACTCATTTGGAGAGTTATTCAACTACCAGGAGCATCCAAAGAATTTTTAAAGTTTCCATTCCACCATGCAGCTTTACTCTACAAGCACACCCAGGCTGGGGCTGGAATCAGCAGCCAGACCCTGGGACTCAACAGCTCTCCCAAAGAGCACTTTGTGGGGAGCCTTGAGACACTGGCTAGCGGATTCTCCAGGGTGAAGGCTCTCCGCAGGAGCAAATGTGGAGAGACGGAAGAGCCAGGACACATGCACTGCTCTCCGAAGCACCCCCCTCCCCCCAACTGAAGCTGCCCACGCTGGACATCAACATCCTGCATGATGGGGACTTTTGGTCAGGGTTTTTTCCTCTAGCACGGTTACATAGAAGCTAGGAGAAAAGAAAATTTTCAGCAGAAAGAATCTGCAGTTGAGCCATAGAAAGCAGAGCAGCCCGGGATTATTCTTTGTGTTACAGTTTTGTTGATAAATAACTACCTTGCCAGATTCTAATTCCAGTATATCTCTATTACACTAGAAAACACCTATCTCTTATATGGTGAGAAAAGGAGGGGAGAAGGGACATCCCCAACACCAAAATCTAAAACTTTGCACCGAAGTTTATCAGTGACTATGATCCTTTAGCTCTTTTGTTCCACCAGAGTCGGCACTGCCAAGCATCCTTGAAACTTTGTCCAGAGTTCTGCCTGCAGGGCTGCAGATGAGTAAACTAATGATGCTGAACTTCAGGCATGGGCGTGGGGACCTCGGGTGATACCAAAGCAGCAAGGAGAATCCTGAAACTCTCCAGCAAATCATCTCTCCTGAGGATGCTGTTTGCACTTCTTGCCTCATTCTAAAATAACGCTACCATGGGGTCAATGTAACCCTACAGATACTCTATCCTCAAGTAGGGTGGCTCTGTTTAAAGTCACATTCCCATCTTGTCATCCTTGTTTCTCTGGATTGTCAGTGGGTTTGCCTGTAACTTGCACAATGTCCATTTGATCTTGTAAAGAATGAGAGAGGGCATAGGGCTGACTTGTGAGAAATGCAATGTTTGCTGTCTGGTTCTCTCCCCCTGATCAGCGGTGGTATATTTTCCAACATATTAGACTGCCTAATTGAATATATAAAACTTACTCTGAATTTGAACCTAACAGGAGTTGAAGGTTGGAGAGGAGAGACTCCGCTTGATGTACCACCTGTCCACAGCTGCAAAACTTAAAAGAGAGCTCGAAGAGGTTTTCTTTTTCTGATAGCTCCATTCCAGCAAAGTAACACTTAAGGAGTAAATGAACTGAATTAGAAACAGGCGGACTCGCCTTTCTTGAACCTATCCTCTGTTTAAAAAGTTAAGGGAGAAATGTGTGTCATGATGTATTTCAGATTCAGTGCACCTCACACTATTTGGTGGTAGGGAGACCATTCCCTGAACCCAGCACGTGTGTACTAAGCTAATGTTTGCTGTTAATGGCCCAAGATATGCAGCTTGTCATACTGTACATGCTTTGGACATAGCCTTCTAATGATTAGTGTGGCTGAGCACTCAGCCAACGAATTGTTTTTATACTTCTGTTTTTCTAACCACTAGATTGTTCTAAAAACTGCTGTCAGCCTGGCGTACTGGCACACTCCTTTACTCCCAGCACTTGGGAGGCAGAAGCAGGTAGATCTTTGTAAGTTTGAGGCCAGCCTGGTCTACAAAGTGAGTTCCAGGACAGCCAGGGCTACACAGAGAAACCCTGTCTCAAAAACAAAACAAAACATAATTATCGTCTCCACCACCTCCAACAGTAAACTCTCTAGTTCTAAAAATAAATTGGTTCTACATCTTCTCATTTAAATCCAGGTCACTAGCTGATCAGCTAAACTTTCTCTGAAGCTAAAGCCACTGACATATCAAGGACATCTCCGGATTGGCCCATGCTATGGAAGTGTGGCTAATCCTATATAGTTCGATGCGTATGTGCATAACATAGCTCTCTCTATATATAATCTTGTTCTGATGTCTCTAAAACACTAAGTGGTCTAGAATCTTCTTTGTAGTTTCAGCACACAGCCATGTATCCAGCAGATGTACCTAACTGAATATGTTGTTTTGAGTATCTTTCACTCGTGGGAGGGCAAATAAACCATGGAGTCTAGATTACTCTTGAAAAATTCCTTCCGTGGCTTATAAAGTACCACCCAGGGACATCCTTTGCTAAATTCAACACAGCTAAGTGTTCCTCTAGCAATGGGTCGGGTTATTATTTTGTTTTGCATTATTTTGGCTGGGAACCAGATGCGTTAGATCCTAATATTTAGAGGCTTGAGCATACTATAAACACTTCTTTTTTATACTTCACCTTCAAGGTCATCTTATGTCTTAGAAGTACAAGGGCAGGGAAACCAGCTGAGAGTATGCAGGGTTTGTATCCCACTTCTGTTCACTCTGGGGCCTCATTTGTTGGGTGGATGGATGACTGGAATAGTCTCTATTGTCTTCTGTTTCTGACTCCATTTCTGGGGATAAACCATTATGAACCATTATATATTAACCTGTTAAAGCATTATGTTGGGAAGGGTTCTAACACTGAAACATACCTCCAACCTGGGAATGTACATTCTTGAAAGCTTTATTCTTTTCTTTCCCTTTCTTTTTGGTGGATGGCCACGTCACACAGTTGAATGTGAACTACTGTATAATTTGTTACTGCACTATGCTACTTTTTCGAATTAGCAAATGTTTGACATGATATTATTTAGCTCAGGTACACTATTGACTTTGATATGAATGTAAGCATTTTTCCCTAGGAAGGGTGAAAAAAAATCAATGGCTCTGATGTCTTGAGGTAATATAGCAAATTATGTGAAATAGTAAAAGAAGAAATTACTAGTCATTTTAAAAAGGAAAATCAAAAGAGAAAACAGACTGGTTAGTTGAAGGTCTGGTCATAAACATTATAAATTTCTTACAGCCACAAAATATAGCAATAGCGCTCATTTTAATACCATCACTAATCATTTGGGATACTCTGACATCCTTTCATTTCATTATTTGTGTATTTAGTGGAAACTCTTTAAAAAGTCATGTCACTAGCCAACACAAGTCATTTCATAGTTATGATGTAATTGTAAGGTAATATTTCAGAGCTGTCAACATCAAAGACCTGAAATATGACTTTAAAAAAATTCAAGCGAGACCCCTCCGAACAACCTCTTAGGGCCAAGCCAATGGCATTTCGTCTTCTGTTTCCTTAAGCTTTTAAAAACAGAATCATACAAAAGGTATATTCTCTAGAGGCATATGAATTAAAGAGTAAAAATAAATAATGCCAGGTGAAATTTCCCTTTTGATTTAAACAGTGGGAAATAGAAGTATAAGATATGTCAAGAATAAAAAGAAACAGAAAAATTGTCCTCAAATTGTGAATTTGGGGCCTGAGATGGGGGTAAGTGGTAGAACACTTGCCTAGCAAGACCCTAGGCTCAACAATTAAAAAAAAATTAAATTTGTGCATTGGAAGGATTTTTTTTCTTTCT